ATTCTTTCACAGATTCAAATTGAACTAAATGATCCTACTATTACCCAAAATAATTATGTATTAGCATATAAAGTAGCAAAAGAAACTGGGGCGGGAACTCAAATTATTAATGAAAGTGATTTTAGAAGTTTTATTAATGATTATAATCAAGCTACAAATAGAAAAAAAGATATATTTATTAATATACAAATGCAAAACAATTCTTTAAAAAGGAATGCAAAAAAACGAACACGCAGATCGGTATAATTTTATTTTTATTTTATTTATTTATTTTTTTTTTACAAAAAAAATTAATTTATTATATTAGGGATCCGAAGAACCTAATAGTAATGAAAATTTAAATAAAAAAAAAAAGACACAATTATTTAGTAAAAAGCCTAAAGAATCTCATCTTGATGATGATAAACATATTATGGCATCTACTATATCTCAACTTCGGGAAAAATATTTTGCACTAATTGCGAAGGTTCCTGTTGGGTTACTGAAGCTGGGCATCTTAAATTAACAGGAATGCATTATACTACATGGGCTGGAGCAATCATAAGTATTATTTTTTGATACATTTCTTTATTTATTAAATACTATATACTTATTGTAAAATTATAATTATAAATAGATGAATAGATTAGCAGATATTGACACACCACCTAGTCATGCGATATTTACATCTCCACCTAAAATTAGAGGAATATCTAATTCAAATCAGCTTCTATTACAACCATTACAACAATCCAGTTCACAACCGCCATTACAATTAGCTTCACAAATGCCTTCCCAAACATCCTTACAAATGCCCTCGCAAACACCTTTACAAATGTCTTCACAAATTCCCTTACAACTATCCTCACAAATAGCTCTGCAAATACCTTCTCAAATACCTTTACAAATGCCTTCACAACTATCTTCATAAATACCAACAAATTTTTTTTCACACTTTTCTAATATTCCCTTACAAGTATTACCAAATATTTCTTTATACATACCATCAAATATCACTTCACATCCTTATTTTATACCATTTCCAACTATGCCCAATTTATCACAAGGATCAATGCTTTTTTCAAAATATGTTCCCAAACTTGAAGAATTTTTGACTCAAATAGATAAAGCTGAAAATGCAAATTGAGAAATTTTAGCGTGTTTATCAATGTTTCAAAATCAAGCTATTCAAGTTAAGTAGATATGCAAATTAACTGATGAACAGCTTGAATTGGTTGGAATTACTAAAACTGGATGGAAAGTTGCATTACGGGAGGCTTCTAAAGAGTATATCCAATAAATATTATCTACAATAAGTACTCAAGATACATATTACAGAAA